CACTGACTACTCTATGAGAAATAAGGATATTAATACTGTGATATCTGTATACATAATGCTCCTCGCAAATTTACTCAACAACTCACGAAATCTGAGGATCAATGGTGAAGCCTTGATTCAACAAGCTTTTATTTCGGCTGATGAACGCGTGCGTTTCCCAAGAGAGATTCGTCGGGTTGGGTTTCCCAGGCGCAGGCAATGCCAATTGTGCTTTAGCACGCGATTCAGCTGTGACCAAATCATTTGCTACGTGATGAGAACATGCATGCGGGATGTGAAGCTATGGCATTATAAGCCCTGACCAGTGCCCCCCCCCCCCCCCCCCCCATCCAAACGCTAATGTCCGCAGAATAGCAAAGGTACATCTCAAAGGTGCATCTCGTCGAGGTACAAAGGTGCATCTCGTCGAGGCTGGCAACGGGACTTCACCTGCATAGGTTTTTAGGAAACAAAATATGACATACATTGCATCTGGGGCGGTACTTCAAATGCATGCTCTAATCAGAACGTGTATCAAAACACACTTTCCTTTGTCTCAGTTCTTGCTTTACATTGTCGTCGGAAACCTTGGCCATGCAACGTAACTCTTTGCTTTGTCTTACTTTGTGCTTTACGTTGCCGTCGGGATCATCGGTCACCACGCAGCCTAGCTTACTGAAACGCCGAAATGGCGATCAACAACGTAGTGCATTGTGTGCAAAACAGGCGCGAGGCCGGACTTTTTGCAGTCAGCTGTCTAGATCCGCACCGGCCACCATTTTACGTCACGTGGCTGATTGGAGCAAGGCGCTTCGGATACTGGGACTTCTTAACTGGGATGTCCATTACAAGAACAGGAAGGCCGTCAAAAAGCTCTTCTTAGTTCATGTCCGACCAAACCTAGAGTATTGTGTACAGGCTTGGTCCTCCTGCTTCCAAAAAGGCATTGCTTATCAACAGGTGCTTTTTGCTGTACCCTTTCCAGCCTATGTGATAGGCTGGAGAGAGTGCAACGAACAGCAACTGGGATGATAACTGGGATAGACAACTTATGCAGGATAGACAACTTATGATATAAGTATAAGGTTAAGGCCTTGGATTTATATTCAGTGAAATATGGTATATTTAGAGGGGATCTGACAGAAGTACTCAAGATTGTGAAAGGGAAAGACAATATCGATCTACTAGGAGCACTGGGAACTAGGCCGAGACTCGAAGGAAATCAGTTTCAATAAGCGAAAGGTAGGAGTAGGACTATCAAGAGGAAGATGTCATTTAGTCAAGGAATAGTAAATCACTGAAATGGACTGACAAACGAACTTGTAGGAAGTCCCTCCCTACCGAGATTTAAGGAATCGTTTTGGATAGCTCTATCTCTCTATCTCTCTCTCTCTCTCTCTCTCTATCTCTCTCTCTCTCTATACGTCCCATCCTTCTCTCTCTCTCTCTCTCTCTCTATCTTCTCTCTATCTCTCTCTATCTCTCTCTCTCTCTCTCTTCTCTCTCTTCTCCTCTCTTTCTCTCTCCTTATTCTCTTCTCTCTCTCTCCTCTCTCTCTCTCTCTCTCTCTATCTCTCTCATTATATATATTATATATATATATATATATATATATATATATATATATATATATATATATATATCTTATAAGTCTAAGGATCTCATTTATAGCTAAATTCGTGCGGGTTAGGTGGTAAGATAAGTTCAAGGATGGATGAGTAATCTAGGGTAGGCCAACCATGATGGGCCCGTTTGGCTCTTTGCTGGCCTGATGTCTATATGTCTGCATATCTATATGTCTATATGTCTATAATACATAAATAAGTTTTTGTATAAACACCACGAACATTTAATGGCAGCATTGCCCAGCTGGGGTGCCCTCCTAACCCGTGAGCTGTTCCTACACCCCTACCAGGTGTCATCGCAATTTGAACTCCACGATAAGCATAAGCTGTAGAAGCAATATTGCATATACGTAAAAGACTACACAAGCTTTTGCAGTAGAAGCCATGGCAATTTTACACTTTTGAAACATAAGCTGTGTGATGTGGCACCGATGTCGCGCGTAAATTTTTGCTTTAGAAGTAATGCAGTGTATAAACAACGGTTGTACAAGTGTTTGCAGCACAGGTAATGACAGATATAATTTTTGAAACATTAGTTTTATCGATTGCACTGATATCGTGTATAAGTCGTTGGAGTAGAAGTAATGCCGTTTATATGTAGCAGCTGCATACGTTTACGCAGTAAAAGTAATGATGAGCAAGCATTTTTTGAGGTATAAGCATTGTCGTGTGGGACTTCTGTCGTGCATAAGCTTTTGCAGTACAGGTAATGCCGTGTGTGAGAAACGGCTGTAAAGGTGTTAGAAATAAGGTGTGTAGTGTGCAGTAGAAGTAATGACTAGCATACATTCTTGTAATATGAGTGCTGCCGCGTAGCACCAATGTCGTGTATAAGCATTGGCAGTAGAAATGATGTAGTACTCCTGTCGGTAGAGCTTTAACTGTACCACTCATGTCGTTGGACCGATGTGAAGTGGCGTAACGAGGATGGTGTGCAAATCACTAACGTGGGATGTCTGTAGCACCACCAAGCTGTGGCGTGGTGTTCGGAACACCACGGTGATCCGCTCCAGCGGTGTTCGTGGCGCTAGGGTGTGGTGTTTGAAATATCTTGGCTACGTGCCCAACGAAACAAAGCTTGTTTTCACGCTGAATGGATCATTTACGTTATATAAAACGATAACAAAGGCATGCCAGTAAGGTACCACCACTTCATGATACATGGCCGCACACTCGCGTCTTGAATAAGGCTGCTCAGCATGGCGCAGGCAGAAGCACCCATATGGTGACCTGTGGCGAGCCGGCCGGTAAACGGTCCTCTGGTCCCGCCGCAGTCACGGCGGTCACGTCACATCAGGACGGCATTATAATTTTGCCGATGTGGAGACGCTCACCAGTGTCAGTACCGAGTAGCACAGCTCTCCACAATGGCAACAAAAGCGTTTGTGGCAAGACTCAGCTAACGTGAATGCGGCATGCTGGCATGGTTACCGCGTACTGTTTGCGTTTGTTTTTCACAATAAGCACTGCTGCACGCAAACCAATACTGCATTCCATCCATTTAAGAAGGATATCACACTTTGACCATCTTTGCGCAAATTAGCACGCAGTTTGATAGTTTATAAGCAACATATTAAAGGACACATACAGTAATATTGCAAAATCGATTTCCGCCAACTTCTCATCCACATCCTCATCCACACCCACAAACATAATAGACAGACAGACTGACTTCCACAACCCATCCATAGACTATGTCGTCTAGGAACCCCAGTCTCCGATGTCGTCAGGGTTTTTGTCCCGCAGCGGCTATGCGGGCCGTGGCTGTATCTGGAGGTCTCGCGTACCTCACATATGCTTTCATTTCAGGCGAAAGTAGAGTTTTCGCAAGAAGGGTGGCGTGGTCGCTTTTTGCTGGCGCACTGGGCGTTGCAATCATGCCGATCTCTTCAGTTTCCAGGCCTTTTCCCACAGTTTGGTGCAGTGGCATTGATGCCTGAGGTTATTTGAACGCCCCAAACGGCTTAGGAATTTGCCTTCATGCTGTCAATTCTGGATGTATGAATCATGCCACTAACCAGAGACCTATTTGTGGAGAGGTAGCTGCGCCGTTTTATGTGATAAGATTGCCACAAATAGGAGCGCAGCAGGGTAATGTCAATTTTTAAAACATTATTTGCCTTTGAGGCCATGAAAAGCTTGGGCGTCAACTAACACTAACTTCACTAGCTTAGCTTCACTAGCTTCACATCACGACTTTAACACTCGCTTGCGGCGGGACGGGTTCCTACGAAGCACACTGTTCCAGGAATCCTCACGGGATAATCGTGAAAGCAGGAAACCGGCTCTGGGATCATGCGGATGTGAGTCACTCGCTTATGCTATGCGTGGCGCTTGAGACCTGCCGAAACGGAGGCGTCGTGCTCAGATCAACAGCAGCAGCTGTCCGCTGACCGCTACCCTGCAGCAGCTGCTGCAGCTGGTCACGTCAGGTTCAGGTCAGCGGGAGCAGCTGTCCGCTGACCGCTACCCTGCAGCAGCTGCTGCAGCTGGTCACGTCAGGTTCAGGTCAGCGGGAGCAGCTGTCCGCTGACCGCTACCCTGCAGCAGCTGCTGCAGCTGGTCACGTCAGGTTCAGGTCAGCGGGAGCAGCTGTCCGCTGACCGCTACCCTGCAGCAGCTGCTGCAGCTGGTCACGACAGGTTCAGGTCAGCGGGAGCAGCTGTCCGCTGACCGCTCCCCTGCAGTAGCTGCTGCAGCTGGTCACGTCAGGTTCAGGTCAGCGGGAGCAGCTGTCCGCTGACCGCTCCCCTGCAGCAGCTGCTGTAGCTGGTCACATGTTCATATCAGCTGCAGCAGCTGTTCGCTGATCGCTCCCCTGCAGCAGCTGCTGCAGCTGGTCACGACGCGGTGAGCTCTGCAGCTGTTGTTGTTCTTGAGCTGGTGTAGCGGCTGGGACGTGGCCCTTCTCCTGACGGCGACCTGGTCTGCATTCAGCACCGATACCGCCAGCCGATCTCACTGCCGCGACGGGCCGGGACGCCGGGCCGGTGCGCCGGGCCGACTCTGGGTCAGTGAGGCGTCACACAGGCTGAGTACCGGCCCGGCCACTCGGGGCTGTGGCGCTGCGGTGCCGGCGCAGTGGGGCCGTCAGTCGGGGGGATCGGAGGGAGTGCCGGTCAACGACGACGCCGAGCCAGTGAAGTGCCACTAGCCACGCGGAGGCAGTGAAATGCGAATGACATGGAGCCAGTGAAATGCGAATGACATGGAGCTAGTGACGTGCGAATGACCTGGAGCCAGTAAGAAATGTTTGTGTGATGGGTTAGGAGTGTTGGCCATTAAATAGCGCCGACGTCCCAAATAACTTATTTTATTGCTTCATGCTCAGTATTAGCCCCAGCTACGGGCAGCAAGGGCGTGCATAACACAGAACCTTTGCTCCAATTGGCCAGCATGTGGAAGGTATGCGTCCTGCTAGGCTGCACAACGGACACAGGATAGCAAGACCATCGCGAGGCCTTGGGATGTGGGTACGCTTTGCATGGTTGGCATTCTGCGTGCCACTCCACTTCAACTGGCTCCGCGCGCTTCCCTGCAAAATCGTGCTGCACACATCGGAGCTCGTTTCAATGACGCAATGTCTGGGTGGACAGCTTTGAAACGTTTCGTGGTGCGCAGCAAACTTCTTTGGGTTTCCACGGTCCTTGGATTCGTAGCTGGACATTGGGATAAGCTAGCCGGTTCTACAGCTCGCCAAGTACGCTCGACTGGCCGCTGCAGCTTTTTCTTGGCCCGTTCCGGCTACCTTGGATATCAATCGCTTGATTATTTGGAACTGTGTTAGAACAGGCCAAGTGTCTTGCAGACAATCAGAGTGGGCGCAAAACAAGTTCGAATGGCCGGAGAAACCTTCACTGGCCTTCACTTACCCACTTGCGATATGTAGGGTACGTCATACAGGGATGGCGTCACCGATAGAGAGGGGTACGGGGAGGGCGAGTCCGCTATCGTCGAAGAGGAGGGGGCGGACTGCGCCACTCATGCATGCGAACGATTTCAAACTATCACGCATCACATTTTAAGGCACTTAACACACTCATTTACAGAAATTTTGCCCAAATTCGAAGGGTTTTGGAATGAATCTGACATTTGGCCCCATGGAAAGGATTTTGGTTACCTGTCCGAGGTAATGGCGATAAAGATATCGTAGGCAATGCCTTGTTTCATTTTAGCGGGGCGTCGCAGGAAAATCCTTAAGCGTGTCACAATTGTTCTTGCCACTTGGACACTTGTTTTTAATCTGTACTACACGTCAACCATAAAACTTAAACTGTACCTTTTGAAGTCCATCTCACTCATGTAACCTGAAGAGACCCCTTCCATTCATTTCTTCCCTCTTTTTTGGCTCGTAACATTCGTATTTGAGGTCCCATGGCATATACTGCCTCTGGGAGGCGCCCAGGGCAGCACCACGAGAGTGACAAAGCAAAAACCCCTCTTGCCATTTACCAAGGAGGCAGGGTGCTGCCCACCCTGGTGACTCCCTGCCTTACCGGGGTGCAGCGGTCAGCCCCTGCTCCCCTCCCCAGCCTCCGTGACTCCCTGCCTTACCGGGGTGCAGCGGTCAGCCCCTGCTCCCCTCCCCAGCCTCCGTGACTCCCTGCCTTACCGGGGTGCAGCGGTCAGCCCCTGCTCCCCTCCCCAGCCTCCGTGACTCCCTGCCTTACCGGGGTGCAGCGGAGAACGCGTGGGGAATCGGCATAGCGATGCTCATTTACGGGAACGCCAGTTATGGAGCGCATTATCCATCATTCCTTTTGTATTCAAGTGTCTTTTTTATTGTTTTGCGACTTCGTCTCCTGTCAAAAGTCAGAAAGTCAGTCAGAGAGCAGCGATGTTGTGTTGAAAGGTGGTGATGTCTATGCATTTATCGTGTTGAGCTTTCTTGTGGCCTACTCATTGCGAAGAGAAGCGTTGAAGCCCTCAGGTGAGCGCTCACATGATGACAGTGCGTCGGTATGTTTCAGTTTAAGGCCCGCGTGCTCGACGTCTGCGACAGCACTCCCTACAACCGCGACATAGACCTGTTGTCGTGGCTGGTCGGTAAGTAGCCGGCCACACCGCGACATAAACGTGCTGCCATAGCTGGTCGGTAAGTGGCCGGCCTCACCGCGACGTAAACCTGCTGCCATAGCTGGGCGGTAAGTAGTCGGCCCTACCGCGACACAGACCTGCTGTCATGGCTGGTCGGTGAGTAGTCGGCCACACCGCGACACAGGCCCGCTGTCATGGCTGGTCGGTGAGTAGCCGGCCACACCGCGACACAAGCCTGCTGTCATGGCTGGTCGGTGAGTAGTCGGCCACACCGCGACACAGGCCCGCTGTCATGGCTGGTCGGTGAGTAACCGGCCACACCGCGACACAGGCCCGCTGTCATGGCTGGTCGGTAAGTAGCCGGCCACACCGCGACACAGGCCTGCTGTCATGGCTGGTCGGTGAGTAACCGGCCACACCGCGACACAGGCCTGTTGTCATGGCTGGTCGGTGAGTAGTCGGCCTTACCGTCGGCAGCTGACGGCTCACGCCCCGCTGCCGTACTCCAACAGTCGCACAGTGCCGTCGCTGGAGCGTGCTGAGCCGTTTGCCGCCAGGTGATCACGTTTCCCACACTTCTTCGCGTCTTAGAAGGGGTTCTCTCCAATGCTCTGAATTGTTGGTCATACCGTCCACCGCTGTCTTTCAAGAAAATCTGTCCATCTGGTATTGCATCGCTTTTGTCTGTCTTTATTTATCACAGAAACGCAACTGTCATAGGCAGCGTAATCGTTGCCTAATAGGCATGTTGCCTGTGCTTATGTATGCGTATAGTATGCCACATAGGTAAATCGAAGTAAGTGTTTAATTTTGTCTCCAACGCACGCTAACGTTATGCATATGTTAAATCCTCCTAAATATCGTCTTTTCGCGTCAGCATGCTTGCGTATCTCGGTCATGCACATGTGTATGCATGTGATATTTGCTCACCATTTGAAGTCATATGGCGCTGGGAGCACATCAAATGGGCGGGAGGCTGCTGCAAATAGAATAACCGGGCTGAAGTGCCCGGGTTTGGCTGATCAGAGGTGCATGGATGTGAAGGGGGTGTATTCAGAGCCTTGCTTATTCCGGCATGGGCAGCTTAAGCGGGCAGCGGCCATGGGAAAACTCACAGATGGCCTTTGTCTGCTTTGATCTTTGCAATGAAAGGGAGTGTGACACCTTTGGAAGCTTCGCAGAAATCGTCCGCGGGAACGCGAGGAACAACTTGTCAACGTTGATGCATAGTTCTGGAAGTCACCTTGGCCAGTCAAAGTCTAAAATAAGCAAATGATTCTGAAATCGGAGATGTGAAAGGTCGGTCAAACCAGCAGCACCATCTCACTTCAAGTTTGCTTACCAGCATCATCGGGCTGGGCCTTTAGTCAAGGACAAAACAGACATATCTGAGGGTTCTCATCGATTCGTAGTGATGTGTTATCAGTAGGCCTCGGCGATGCTGACAAGATCAAGATTACGTCCTATCTTATTTCTCCCTCATGCGCGCGGAAGCCACAGTGTTATGTGGATTAGACTGGATCCTTGTAGAGTCACTAAAAGCACTTTTTTCAAAATAAGTGATCATAGTTTCTCATGCGGATTATTGCGGCAGTGATATGCTGACCGTCTGATGAGAAGTATTTTGGCAGCTGGTGGGTAACACTGAGGCAATTATTGTTGAAAAATGAATTTTGCTAATGGTGGCAATTGCCCGGATGAACAATCATGGGTAATCGTGCTTCCAAGTGGGATGACTGGGTTCATGAAAGGTTATGTAATAAAAACACTCGCGTTACGAATCTGGCGCGCCTGATCCAGGTACGTTGTGCACATTCTGTTTCGAAGTAGCAAGGATCACTCTCATTTCACCGGCTTGTGCTTGCGTTTCGCCTCTCATATTAGTTCTTGTTTTCTTTCAGCTCGGAGCTTCGACCTAGATTGTGCAGTGGACATGATGAGAAAGGTAGGTGGGTTCCCCTCCCCTGGGATGGAAGCACAAGGGCCTTTGAGGGGAAAAGCGCATTGCTTCGCTAATGTAAGGTATCTTATTATGGTATTCTGTGGTAGCTACAGCCGTGAGCGAGCCAGATTGCTACCAACTATGTAATAAGTGCTTCATCCCAGACCTTTATGTATATTCTACTTTTCACCCCGCGTATAAGTCTGGTCAGGGTCAGACACGCCCTGGAGTGCATTTGAAGTGACCCGAACGGCACAGAATATATACTGTCGACGCTCATAACGTCGCTCATGACATCATACTCCATATATTTTGCACCGTTTGGTGTTCGCGGCGAACCGGACGACAAAGATTCTACGTGACATCATGTAGAATCTTTGACGGTCGCGCAGAATCTTTTCCTGCGACTCGATCGGAGTGAGATGGAAATGGCGTAACAGATTCGGTTACAAAAAGGTCAATTTGCGTGCCCAGGACCGGTAACGAGCGATGAAAATAGGTTCATACAGTAGAAAGAACCTTATTTGCCGTTTCCATTCTTAGGAACACTCATAGCGCCTGCGAACAAAAACCCCATGTCTCTGCATGCGCAGTTATTGTCGCTACAGTCACGAAAGTGTAAACAGGAAACGAGTTGCGCTGTGAAAACGCCCGGGAAAAATTCTACGTGACATCACACAGAATGGAACACGCTTTGTGCGCCGCGAATACACCATTGAGCTGAGCCGTGGCTTGATCAACCGCTCCTCAGTGCGGACTGCTCTGCCCGGGACGCGGCCGCGCAAAGGCCTGGCCCGCATGCTATCTCGTTCTTCCGTAGTGGGGCTCAAGTAGATTTAGGGCCTCGGCATGACAGATGTCACCACTCCTCCCTCCCTTCCCTGGCACGCCCTCCTCCCCCTCTCCCGGCAATGACACGGCGGCTGTCAGCGGCGCCCATGTCCGGCCTCAGTCCGCCGTCTCATTTCCCGGATGGAGATCGAGCGCGGCACGCCGTTGGATGAGCGTTGCCATTTGTTGTGTACCACGCAGCTCCGTCACGGGTCGGTCAGGTGTGATATGCCGCATTTGATGCGGCATCGCGACTGTTGGGCTCCCGCGATTGGCCGACCCAGTCAAAATGGGCGAGTGGAATCAAAGCTGATGTCATCGCTGCCCATCACTAATTGTGTCCGTTTGTCAACGCCAGGGGGCTCACCAATTTGGTGCCAGTCTATCAAATCAAATCAAATCACGTTTGAAAGGATTGACTATGGACCATGACCAACACAACATAGTTTTTAAAAGATGACTGCAGAGCTAATAGCTTGTTATGAATTGAAACTCTTGTTACAAATACAAGGTGTCAAATTGTTATGTTTCCGGCTTCAGCCGGTTACCCCACAAGCGACGCTTTTACACCTGGATGCAGATTCCACATGTACGTATGCTCTCTTAATAAGTGATTTTTAAGATATTGATCTGACCCAAGCTCAGAATGTTTTCCTTTTTGTTTTTGTCGTTGAGACCATGATAGACAATTTATACAAATAGGGAGAAAACGCCAGCAGCATCACTATTACTTAAGCGTAACTCAGCATGAATCCAATTAAAAGTACACTTTTCCTAAAAGCTCATAGCCGGAACCACACATAAGACCTAGACGTCTTTCAGAATTAATAGGGTACGGCAGGCTTGCACGACTGTAGGCTTAAACGTAGTTACAACTCCTCGGCTTCCATGCTATACATTTACCTTAGCTTCTAAAATGTAATCAGCTCAGAAAACAAGTGACATTTGTGGTAGAACTTTTGATGCAAGTTTTCACATGGAATTTTTGTCGCGGGCAATATACAAGGCATCAATATAACTTTTTGCAGTGCCTCATTTCCAAGGCAAAGGAGATGTTGCCAAACAATTTTAAAATGCTGTTTTACACTACGTCATATTCCTGCAACCAGCTCTGTCTGGAAGGCTGCGAATGCGTGACACCAGGGGCGCAGCCAATTTGGGGGGGGGGGGAGGGACGGCCTCCAGCCCTTAGGCTCATATTTTTTGTTGTTTAAAGGAAGAGTTCCACACTTTTATGAACTTTTGTATTGAAATAATCACATTGAAGGTCATTCGGTGTGGTTCACAGCACTGTTCTTCTTTAAGGAGTGTTCCACATTCGTAGAGAGTTTTGAACTGCAATAGCCATCTTGAAGATCATTCGGTGCAGTTCACATCCCTTTCCTTTTCACAACATAAATCCTCCACTTTTTCAGCTACACGCCCGCGAACATGTGCAGATTATTTCCTGGAGACTGTTCGAAGGTTGCCCAGGCATCCTTAACACCATGACAAGGTTATTCAAATCCTACCATCCCATTAGCCGTGCGGCGATAAAGGTAAAAAAAATGTTATTGTTGAGTCCTTTATATCTGGCGTTTGTGCGCACGATTTCCAGATACTACGGCCGCCAGTTGGCTCTCAATCAATGTTTGCAAGGTACGATGACATAATCAAACAAACAAGGAGCATATTTGCTAAACAGAGAAATTACGTTTTACAGAGCGGTCTTTTCTTCTCAAAAGTACACAAAGGTTTTAAACGATGCTATTTCATCATGCATTTATCATATATATATATATATATATATATATATATATATATATATATATGGTTCCTTCAATATCTTCAAATGTAGAGCATTCCTTTTAAGACTTAAAACCCTCTAGTTTCTGAGCTACACAGCCGGAAAGATGTGCAAACTATTTCACGCAGACTACTTCAGGGTCGCCCAGGTGTACATCACCTACATGCATGCACGGCTGAGCTAGCCGTCGGATCTATCAGTTCTGGGGTCAAGCCCCATCCCACGAGGTTCATGAGGCTGCGCGTCATTCACCTAATGCTGCTGCTTGGTGAGCACTCAACGAGCAGGACATGATCGGCTCCCTCGTCTTCGAGGAACCGCTGAGCGAGACCCCACCTGTCAACCCGGCGCGCTACATCTCCGTACCGAATTTGTTTCTGGGTGACCCTGAAACGGGTCATCACTGACATAGCTGATAATATAGTGCGCAGAGCGCGCACGTGCTGCACCGTGCGCCGTGCGCCGGCACTGGGCTCAGCCAGACGGGGGTCACCGGTCACACGGCTCTCGTGTACCGGCACTGGGCTCAGCCAGACGGGGTCCACCGGTCACACGGCTCTCGTGTACCGGCACTGGGCTCAGCCAGACGGGGTCACCGGTCACACCGGCTCTCGTGTACCGGCACTGGCTCAGCCAGACGGGGTCACCGGTCACACGGCTCTCGTGCACCGGCACTGGGCTCAGTCAGACGGGGTCACCGGTCACACGGCTTTCGTGTACCGGCACTGGGTCCAGCAAGACGGGGTCACCGGTCACACGGCTCTCGTGTACCGGCACTGGGCTCAGCCAGACGAGGTCACCCGTCACACGGCTCTCGTGTACCGGCACTGGGTCCAGCAAGACGGGGTCACCGGTCACACGGCTCTCGTGTACCGGCACTGGGCTCAGCCAGACGAGGTCACCCGTCACACGGCTCTCGTGTACCGGCACTGGGTCCAGCAAGACGGGGTCACCGGTCACACGTCTCTCGTGTACCGGCACTGGGCTCAGCCAGACGAGGTCACCCGTCACACGGCTCTCGTGTACCGGCACTGGGTCCAGCAAGACGGGGTCACCGGTCGCGCGGCTCGCAACTTACTGCAGTGGCCAAGAGACAGCATCTGGACGTCCGCTTTATCTCCAGGATACCATCAGGCGGCCGGTGCACCCACTGGCCCGGACATCCCAGATTCCTTGTCATGGGGTATCTCAAAGCACACGATACGGATTAAGACCAAAGGGTCTGTGGGAGCTCATGGATAAAATCAGGTAGGCTGTTGGGCGAGGTCAAGGGGATGTGTCGGTAGACGTGAGGCTTGTGCGTGAGGCTATCCACAGAGCCGACGTGTGCTTTAAGCGAAAAGGAAGCACATTGAGCACTTGTTCTAGATAGATCATTGCTCTTTTACTTTTTTCCCTTGCAAAATAACGCAGCTTATATCTAATATTTTTGCATAACACGCTGATTCCATTGCTTTACTTCAAACGCGTGGATGCTATCGGCATTTAAAATGTGGTACATACATTTGAAACATCCGATGCCTTACAGACAGCTCATCATGATAACACAATGATGTAGCCTCCGCATTGTTTTATGTGTCCCCTCTGAATATTCCCATACTTTGCATTCGTAACAAATATTCATCACTTCCCGGCCCAAAAGCAGCACCTGACGTTTCATTCGACGTTAAACTCCGGCCGCTGTCGCGTACAGCGTTTACCAACCTACGCCCGTCCTAGTGGGGTGTCGCAACGAAAAGGATTTGTTAGCGCGTTACGTAAACAGATAATACATCTCCAATTGTTCCCTCATTGTTTGCGAGAGGCTTGTGCCTCACGAGGCAACAATTCGTTACAATGTCTTGGCTTTAGCATGGGGTCTATGGCATCGGGGAGCAGGCAGTAGTAGTACTTTCGGCGGTGTGTGTTTTAGTCGATGGCTTAATGGCTGACGGAAAAGCGCAGACATACTTATGTTCTAGGGTTAAGTACCTCATGAGGCTGAACAACTGCTGGCAAACTCTAGATATCCTACTTTTTCTGGGAAAACAAGCTCATAATGGTGTTGGCAAGCACAGACTCCAGCCATCCCCGGACAATGGGAGATTTCATTCAAAACCCCCAAACTTCTTTAACAAAGACATATCATACTAGAGTTTTGAGGTTCCAAGGTCATGGATTGTAATCCTTGCATGAAGGTAATGTCAGTAAATGACGGCTCGTCTTCTTTCAGAACATACGTCCTTGAACTTTTTTTATTTCTTCGTTCATTAAAGTGGGCGTGCTGTATTTGGGGCATATTTGAAAATCATACCTTCGTGACACCTCAGAAACCAGCATGTATAATGATAGTTCCGGCAAGTGCTACTGTAGTACCAACCAGATATACTAGATTTTAGGATTAGACAGTAAGGTGCTTAAATTCGCTGACATTAAATTGATAGGGGCGTCAAAAAATGCAGACCAGGTGGAACTAGGCTAAGAGATACTTGTGAAATGGGATTCTCTGTGACAGATGCCATTTAATCTTAATAATTGTAAAGTGATGCATATAAGTAGTTCTGAGAGCGAATGCATTAGTTATACAATGGCAGACTGAGAATTAGACCAGATCGAGGAAGAAAAGGACTTGGGGGGGGGGGGGTTATAATTTTAAGGGATTTGAAGGTCGAAAAGCAAGGTAGAACTGCTGGGAGCAAGGCACTTTAGATTCTGGGAATTAGAAAGAGCAATGTCCATTATAGGAGTAGGAATGTTGTCAAAAGTTGTATTTGGTTTACGTCGGACCGCACGTAGAGTATTGTGTACAGGCTTAGTCCCTATGCTTTCAAAAAACTATAGTCTGGAGAGAGTTCAGTGAAAAGTGACTACGATGAATGATGGGATTGGCAACTTAGAATACAAGGATAGGCTTAATTCATTGCATTTGTATTCACGGAAATATCGTAGACTTAGAGGGGGTCTGATAACGGTATCCAAATTTTGAAGGGGGTAGACAAGGTAGATCTTCAAGAAACGCTGGCAATTAGGCCGAAACGAAAATGCCTAAAGATTACATAGTTTAAAACTCAGCTCTGGCTGGTTCATCCGAGATCAAGCTGGAGCAAATGTCTTGGGTAAAACGTTATAAGGAATGCTGTTGATTTTGCGACCAAATAGAGCAGGCCACACCTTACATCAACAGATATTGAGGCAATTTGACAACTGGGTCAGGCTCCTTTTCAGTTATTTTTCTCCAGCGATTGCATCAAGCTCGTTCTGGAAAATTACAATACAATCTGAAAGAAACTAGGCTTGGACGCCATCATGTCCTGATTTCACATGCCACTAGTAGCATTTTTCGATAAGCAATCCCAGATCACAGGTGCAGCGTGTCCGTGGTCATGTATTACCGTTTTGCCGACCGCCGTACCACCGACGACTTCACTACATAACGTGCCGATAATACGGCCTCTAAGTCTGGGCTCGGGGTGCCATTATGTGAGGCAGGGAAATTCACTTGCTGAGTATTAAATGCTATATATTCACTTGTTCACTTGTTACCTTCATGAAATGACGCGATAGATGTTCTAAACATGGACAGCTGATATTTCGCCGCTTGTTTCTATGCCATGTTAAGTTAAGAGGGTAGGTGAAGTGCCTAGTAAAATTTCCTCGTGGACCGAAAAAACAACTGAAAAACAATCTTCCCGATACAGAAAAGCGGTCACAAACAAATTCTCACGCGCACCTTCATCGCCTCCACGTTCCGCTCTCAAGTGCAGTTTCGTTTGCAGTCGTATGTGTATAAGAGGGAGGTGAGGGGGGGGTAGATTTAAATTATTATCCGTTTTAAATTATTATCGCCGTAGGTTCACCACATTTCCCAGCCCAGCCTACCCACCTCCACCTTGTTTTGCAAAACTACGCCCCTGTTCCCTGTAAACTGTACCCTGGAATACGTCTGGCCCCTCGTGTAAACACTGTTTTTTGCGGGGTTTTTGCTGCTTGCTGAGATTGGCTCCGGAGAAACATTACCAGTCGATAATGCCGACAGCACGTCCGTTTGGAAACAATGCCAGCCGCTAATGCACTCCCGGTATGTCTACCATGCCGCCGGTGGAACGGAGAGGTGCTTGGGGTGCGACGCCGAGTGAGACACAGTTCAGACGTGAGCCAGACGGGTTCCGTGCCGAGAAGGTCATCGCTGTTTCACCCAACTGAGCTGCTCCCGGAGCCCGCCGTTAATGTATTCGGCGGTCTTGAATCGCGTGTCGTATTATCTATGCGCGCCTCAATACGAATTGATGCACCTTACTGGCAAGTGTGCGTGTTAGATATGCCTAGATTTTTTACACAAGCCGACGTGCTTTTAGATAAAATAACACTAGTGGTTCAAATGCCTCACATAAACTACTGTCAACCACGCTCTTACTCACCGGCCCCCTTTCATACGCTTAATGGCCGCAATATTCTGGAAGTTATGAAGCTAATGCGACGTGATACATAAATAAAAGCCATGTTTCATGGCCATCCAAAGAAGAGCAGCCCACAGGGTTATGAAATACAAAGTAAAGGAACAACATTTATGCCTACGCAAGCAGCTGAGCTTGTACGTATCACACACAGAGCCGGCTGCGTCCGTATGCTCGACTCAGAGTGTTTTCCGTCTTTTTGCGACATCGATAACTGACGGCGTGTCGACGGAGCGACATGGTAACCCAGCAGGCGCATCCGGGAGTGCCGCTCGCCCTGTCAGGGCCAAACAGAGGGCGGCCGGCTGGCCGGCCGTGCCGTGCTCTCGGCTGGCGCCCAGCGGCCGCCCCATCGCTGCCCGGCGCACGCGGCGCCGGCCGGACCGGCCGCGGCGCCGGGCGGCGGCGCCCCACTGCCGCCGAGAATGCCGCCGCTGTCGCCTCGGGGTGAACTTCGACGATCTGTGTGGATTTCAGCAGGGCTGAATACTGACGGCGTGGCTCAGTGTTGCCAGAGCATCTCACCACTGCCCTTGGACAGCTGTGAACCGGTGCACTGAAAGAGCGGGCCGTAGGGCCCCGTTTGACTGTTGGTTACACGCTCCCCACCCCACCCCCCCCCCCCCCCGTTTGGCTGTTAGTTACACGCCCCTCCTCTCCCTGTTTCAGTCGATGGCGTGGCGCGAGCGGCACGGCGTGAATCGCATCCTAGACGAGTGGGAGCCGCCGGCGGCGCTCCTCGAGTTCTTCCCGCGCGGTTACGATGGGAAGTCCAAGGCCGGCCTGCCACGTGAGCTGACTGCGCTCACCTCTTAATGGAACCGTTGCCGGAGAGCGTCGTGTTGCTATGTGCCGTCTAACACACTTCAGTATATTTTTGCGATGATATATGCGACGCATGCGTGCAGAACTGAGATATTCAACGCTCGTTTTAAAACTTTGCTGAGGTTAAATTTTGTAGCACTCACTTTTACACACACACACACGCACGCACGCACGCACGCACGCACGCACGCGCACACACACACACACACACACACACACACACACACACACACACACACACACACACACACACACACACACACACACACACACACACACACACACACACACACACACAATCGACGTAATAGCCTTGCCATAAAGTACCGACGAATCTGACAGAACGATGTTTCCGAAGCTTACTGTCAATTCGCAAAATTAGGGAAGGCCAAAGCGAGAGCAGTGTGAAACCTACACTGAAGTGTCCCTGCCACAATGGCCGCTCGATAGATGCCCGGCGACCACTGAGCCCATTGGTAAGTTTGTGGCGGTGCGTTTGGTTTTCTTTAGACACGCTACCTCCCCTTGACAGACTGCTGGGACATGGAGGCCACAGCCACTATTAAAAACCCACTGAATTCCCGGGGCGTTGATCAGCCAGATGATTCCTGCCCGCCGTGTTGATCAGCCGAACGATTCTCTGCCCACAGTGTTGATCAGCCAAATGAATCTCTGCCCACAGTGTTGATCTGTCCGTTGGCGTGTTGCTCGTGCGCCAGGCCCAGCTAGCTGGGCCGCCTGCCTCTGTTATGTGCGTGTGTTAACCGCGGCGCTCATGAGCTAACTGATCCCGGCGGCGTGTTGCCTGCACTGTTAATCGGCTTACCCGGACCGGTAGTGCGTCGCCCGCAATCCTCGCACCTGCACGTTACAGCCTACTGAGGGTATGACTGCGATCTGTGATACGCTGCGGTCGCTTCCCATCAGTCCGATGCTGCGTTTACCGTAGAGTTTATCAGCTGACTGAGCTCAGCTAGTGTTGCCGGCACCGTTTGTCGATCCAGCAATGCGCTGCTGGCGGCGTGAACCGCCTGAGCAATCTCTCATATGCGTTGTCGGCACTCATACTGCTTATTCGTCTGCTGGGGCTAACGGTGTGTTGTCTGCGTTTGTTTCGGCTGGCTGAGGCCGACTGCGTGTTGCCCCAGTGTTTATCGATTGACTGAGGCGGGCTGTTTGCTGCTCTCAGTGTTTATCGACTGAGGCCGGCCGCGTGTTGCCCTCAGTGTTTATCGGCTGCTTGGGACAGTTCGACATCCGGGGCCTGATCCGTTCGTGTAGGAAGACGGACTTCATTAAGTTTGCGTAAGTCAGCGCCTAGACGACAACTAACATCGCTCATTCTTTTGTCGAGGATGAAAAGACTCATACAGCTTGGGAACGCCATTTTGGATCCACTTGCACTTTCAGTTGCTCATTGCACTGGTTTCAACTCTCTCCCTACAATGGGCTGTCGCCCCAACGGTTTTCTCCGAAGCATATTTGGAATGGAGAATAGTTTACATATTTTACGCACGCAAAAACTTGAAGCTTATGAGCTTAATCGTTTATAGCTTATGTCCTCTTTTATAAACAGATCGGTCACATTTTGCTCAAAAAGGACAAGTAACGCATAGTTCTCTAAGGAAATATTATCAAGACTTTTACAGACCGACGTGTTTGATTTTGTTTCACTGTGGTGCACTCCTGTCGTTCAGGCTGCTTTTGCAAATTGCAAGACCCAGTTACGTTAAACCTGACCTTTGACTTTTGATTCAAAGGCTTCAGATTCAATCGTTATAAAGACATGCAGTTCAAACCTTTACATAGCAAACCTTTATCTTACAGCTTTGAAAGGGCTTTCTAACGCCATCTTCCTCAGCATGTGGCTTGATTAGTTATTTAATGCACGGACGCACCTACACAACACTAGCGTTTACCCCACTGACCTGGCATAGCATCACGGGTCAAACAATACAACCTTCACCCCACCGACCTGGCATAACACCACAGGTCAAACAACACAAACCTAGCTTTCACCTCTCTGATCTGGCATAACGTCACAGGTCATACCTGTTGATGGCCTAAAGCGCCCATCGGGCAACTTATTTTTCAATAGCTATCCAACGCCGTATTACACATTGTGGTAGGATGGTAAGTACTTGAGATAACGGGAGTGATCGAAGAGGGCTAATTTGACCCCCATGACCAGATTCAAACAGCCAAATGTCACGTTCACAGGTGCTCATTTACACGCACCGGATGCAGTTTGATGGCAGCTATGCAATTCCGGTTTTCTTGTGGTTCTGGCTTTTTTAGTTTCTGGTCTGCTCTGGGACACCTTCGTGAAGTTAACAAAACAACAGTAGTGAAGTTAGCAGAAAACGTCCACAGGGCAAGGTTTTCACTATTGTTATCCCGTTGCGTTAAGGTAACATTCCAATTGAGCAGCACAATATGTGAGGCGACCTTCTCATCACATGTCAACGGTAATGCCGGCTTCAGTGCGCCAGCCACTGTCAGGCGCTGTAACGTAAACAGCCATCGACTGCGGCCTCTGCGATGAGAGGGCGCTTCTCTCCGCCGCTGGACTGTGACGTCACTGGGTCTACCGCAGGCTCTACTGTTTCGAGACGGGCGGCCGGCACGTGCTGAACATCTCCCGGGAGACGGGCGTGCCCGTCAACCAGTTCCTGCTGCTGTTCGACCTGGAGGGTCTGAGCGTGGCTCAGGTGGCGTACAAAGAAGGTGGGCGGCGCGGCGCGACAGCACACAGACGAGTCGCGAAATGTTGTTTGGCGACGCTTGTAATTGCGATAGCCACATGCGTCGTGATCTCTCCTGCTGATTCGGAGCAGGACGGCGATACAACAGCACGGTTGACGGGCTCTTTCTCGGTTAGCACTTTCTCAGCGGTGATGTATCTGCGGTGATTATGAAGCACCACACAATGACGTGTATTCTACAATCGTGGCGGCGTTTTGTGACAAACATCGCTAAGCCGTTCACTAGCGATTTAGTTATCGTGAATGCGCAGAACGGAGAACAAATCAGCCACAGCACGGAATCGGGGTGCAGTTGGTGCATGGCCGCAGGAGAATAGTCCGTAACTTACACCGTTCATTGTTACGACCTCCACGAACAGGGTGTAGCGGTTAAGTATTCTGTGTTATCGCTCAGACAGTGTAGTCACACTTTGTAACCAGCTTGCGAATGGATTTCGTCATTATCCCAACACACGGGGTTTCACCTCGCTACTCACCACAGCATATTCATGTGGGGTTAGTGGCCCATGGTACTGATTACAACCTGTTTAGCACGTTTGCCGTAATACGGTCTCTGTTCACAGGTTTTGAATTATTCCTCGAAATGACGAGGATCATGGAAGCAAACTATCCCGAAGGCTTGGGAGTTTGCATGGTGATAAATGGTAAGCATGGTGCCAAATGAGTGGGCATCCAGAGCTTAGATATAGATCGCAAAATCGCAGGCGTAGGGAGTCGTGAGCTTCATAACCAATGGATGGTAACAAGCTCGTATATAACGGGGATAAATTGTTTTACGAGGTCACTGGAAGTCACAAGTGGTATGTGAATGCCTGTCACCTAACGTCGAAAAGCCCCAATTCCGAAACAAGGAGGGAGGCTCGCTTGCTCCCTCAAAGGAGCAAGCGAGCCGAGCATTGTGGCACGTTAAGCTTTCACCACCGAATTCTGCCGTGGACATGTGGAATTGCGCGATCGGGTGGTAGGGGTCAGGGCCCACACAACAAGCACTGCTTAGCGTGAGCTCTGACCCCAGAAATCCATCCATTCAACGGGTTCGGAGAAAATCTTTAAAAAGGGGTGGAACGTTTTTCCCAAGTATGTAGGAGCAGTCATCGGCTGGCATCAATTCGGTGTCCAAGGCTTTGGCAGTGGGCCTCGCTGTTTTGCCCTGTCCATCGACGTTATGCCAGTGTGCTCGGCCGTGCACGTCCTATTATGGGTCTGGCAGACGATTTCATTTGTCAGAGCACAGTCAGGACTGAATTTCAGAGCAAATACTCAATGATCCTGCGACTTCTGCCGCGCCACCATCGCCCACGCTCCATCCCCGTGACCTCTATGATGTCGGCATAGTTCACTCTCTGACCGTGTTACCTCCTTTGCGCCGCCCGCGCTTAGTTCCAACCCTGTGACCTCTATGGCATCAGTGCTGTTCACTCTCTGAGCCTCCGACCCCGTGCTCTCTGTAGCACCGCCTGCACTCACTTTCCAACCCCGTGAGCTCTATGGCAGCAGAGTAGTTCCCCCCCCCCCCTCCCCTCTGACCGTGTGACATCTGTAGCGCCGCCAGTGTTCACACAGGCCTGGTCGATACTGTTTTCATCTGCAGCGCCGCCAGTGTGCACACTGGCCTGGTCGATACTTGTTTTCATCTGCAGCGCCGCCAGTGTTCGCACAGGCCTGGTCGATACTGTTTTCATCTGCAGCGCCGCCAGTGTTCACACTGGCCTGGTCAATACTGTTTTCATCTGCAGCACCGCCAGTGTTCACACTGGCCTGGTCGATGATCCGGCCGCTGCTGCGTGGCACCACGCAGAGCAAGATACAGATATTCGGACATACTGGCTGGCAGCAGCGGCTGCTGGAGCTGGTGGAGCCAGACCAGCTGCCAAAGCACTGGGGCGGCTCACTGATCGGACCCGATGGGAACCCGCACAACCGGCCGACGGTGAGGCAACGCTGGTCAAAGCCATCGCACAACGATTTATTGGATGACATGCATGCAAAAGCAGCAATTTCGGCGAGCGCCCGCTCATGCCCGCTGAGTGTGACTTATCAGCACGCCAAAAAAGACCTACTCAGTTCCACGCCTAGCATCTTCGTTTGCACAATCCATGCTTAGAAGCCAAGTGTCATGGGGTTCATGTAAAATCTGGTGCAATGTTTGTGACGATTTGTCTGAGCACGTCCGGCCCTGTTTTCTGAGAATAATACCTCCAACAGGTGTGCATAGGTGGCGAGGTGCCGTCGAGCTTCTTCCAGGACCCTCACGAAATGGAAAAACTGGCAGCCCATGGCCGCAAACTGCACGTGCGCAGAGCCGGCAAGAAAGAGTACAGAATCGATGTCGCCAAGCTCAAGACGCAGATCAGGTACCCATGGTGAATGCATGTCGTCTTAAACAAGAAATGGTGCCAGAAAATCAGTTTTGGGTCAAATGTGGCGAAATTGGCGGCGTAATGTCAAGACACATTCGGTTTTCGTCTTTTTCTCAGCATTTCCACTTAACGCTGCAATAACTTCGAAAAGTTGTGGGCCTGAGCGTGATCGTTGTGAGAGCTAAGTACGCCATCAGCCAAAGACAAGCCGCTAAAGGGCCCGTATGGGAGCTATTTGGGATACAGTGGGATTATAAAGTTGCGTTTTGACACAATTTGCCGTTCAAAGCAAGAAAATATAAATTGGAATCTTTCATGGGAGCCACAATCTCTTCCAACAACGCCCAGCGTATTGCGCATGCCCTCATAAGGAGGCATTTCTGCTCACGCGCAACCTCGCTTTGGCTAACCTCTGCCTTTACATAAGGCCGCCAACAGTATCTGTACGATTACTTACGCAGATTGAGACAAGGGTGACAAGCTTCGTGGCTCGTGCCATCTGCAGTCGATAATATTTTGAACAGTGCAGATGTGCAGTTGAGAAAAGCAGAAGAATGCATTCGCCATGCCGAACGTGCAGAACATTGGCTTTCGCGGTCAGCAGTGGCGCGCATTGAATGGTAGGCTTCACCTTTAAGTGCACCCAGTGTGGAATGAAGTGGAAGTAAGCGAGTTCATTGAAATCATTGCTGCGAAAATTTTGGTCAGTAAGCGTCTAAAATAAACAAACAAAACAGGGAAAAATATTTGAGTCCACTTCGCGATACCGCACGCTATTTTATTACGTATGGTGCTGTTGAACCTCACTAGCCCGTCATCTTCCGTGGATTTAGTATTCAGAACAGTGGCTGCTTCCGCAATATCTTTCAACCCATGTCGCGAACGCCTGCTGCAAAACTCTTGTGATATAGTTATTGTAGTGCCTGGCTACCCCGTTGCTTTTCGTTACTCTTTGTCTGCGCCAGCCTGCTGTCACTGCCGGTCGGAATGGTGTGATATTCCGCCCATGTTGGGTGATCCGATCGTAGGTTGGAAGAACCAGGTGGATGACAGTTGCATAGATTAAAGATGGAAAATATTTAGTTTACTGAAAAGGTTTTGTCTCATATCCTGCAAGGATGCGATGGCACATTCTTCTAATTCACTCAGTAACTTCCCTATCAACATGATACGTCTGTTTAAGCTATATTTCGAAGTTTTAAAAAAATCGTCAAGGCATGGGCCGTGTGAGAGACAAGCGTGGTATAGCCGCACATCCATTCTGGCAGCGTTTCAGTCCAAAGCGCGAGGCCCGGACACAGCACAAAAGTGCCAGTGTTCGTTTTTCGGGATTTGCTCACGCTGCAAAGTCGCTTTTTGGAGCAATACTTTTGCCGTCCGTTCCATAAAACATAACGTCATAAACCATTGTGAACAAATAGTTTTGCTTTGCTGCATCTGTTTGGGATTATCCCATTCCCAAAGCTCCTATTATTTTCGGCCAGTGTCTCACCGTTAACTTTCCAGGAATATGATCACTGTCAGCAAGCATTGCTGCGCTCTTCTCTGCGAGCGGCAATATAGAACTAGACTCACTCACTGACAGCGCAACAAAGTGTTCAGCTATACATTTTTCGCTGCTGCTTAGCCGAAATGCCGTCCAAGGCAATTTCCGCTCGCTCTGTCTCCGCGCGACGTCATTCCCGCTTGGCAGCGTGTTTTTATCGACCGTGGAATCGCTCTACTGCGCAGCTGCACGCCGCTATCTTACGAGTACCGCGGTAAATTTCTCATCAAACGTATGGTGAACTCCGGTGGTCGAGTGGAAAGATAGCGATATCATTCGTCCTTCAACCACGAAAGTTCACGCGGTGTAATGGCGCAGGAGTGCGCCGGGGGGGGGGGGATGGGGAAAAGGTGCTTCTCTCATTTGCATCAATGTTTGAATTTGATATGAACTGTCCTGCTGGGTTTATTAATTCTATACATAAATGAGTTTTACAGGCGGTTAAGCGGCTGAAGGCGGTTGAAACATTTCACAACATTCACAAGCATGCCAAATAGTTTGACTTTACCATGCCAAAGTTTGTCTCAAGCATACTAATTCCTCTTTCCTGTATTCATGGGTTTCTATGGACCTGTATTGTGGAAGTCGCGTCATGGTTGAAGTTCGCACATGCGAAATTCAAGGGGGGACGCGGGCGGGGGCAATCCCCTTACTCTCTGCTCAACACCTCTGTTAAACTGCGGCGTATGAGCACTTTTAAGAGATTACTTTAACTAACTTAACAACATTCTCGACCGAACTATTTTTTCCTTTACTAACTTTAACTTTTACGTAAGACGGTAATGATAGTCTCTTTCTTCGAAGAAACACAGAAGACTGGAGAGTTAGATGCGTCAATATTTCGGTGATGTGCCTTTATTGAAACGAATATCAGTAGTGATATTCGTTTCGATAAAGATTCGATATCGTCATTGCTGATATTGGTTTTGATGAAGGCATGTTGCCGAAATATCAACGAACCTATCTCTCCAGTCTCCTGCTTTTTCTACGAGCAATAAGGCTATTACTGCTGTCCCACCTATATTCATAATATTCCTCCCATATGCACTTAACACCTTACTTAACTTTAGCTCAACAAACTTTAATTTTAAATTTACTAGCTTTGACTGGACCTTTTCAGCTCAGTAGTTTAGTTTAGCAATCTAGTAGTTATCAGTCCAGTTTGGAGTCCAGTTTTGGTGACGGTGCCAGTAGTAAAGCTTCTGCGGCGTCCAGACCGTTGGAGCAAAACAGCACCCATGTGGTTTTGATTGATAAGTTTCAGCTGGAAGAGCGCAAGGGGTTACGATTGTGCTCTGTTGACGATTTTGAATTATTGTATAATCCATCTAGCATTCTAATATAATAGTAGTGTTGGAATCATTCGCTGCGAGAGCCGAGCGGGTGTCAAGCGCGCATCGTTCTGAGCTCCCGATGCTAGGTATCTGCGAACACATCGAAAGAAAGATATGTAAACAACACGGGTGCGCCGCGTCGTGACAAACCGACCTGCATATACACGAGAGTACTGCTGTACAACTGTCCGCCTTCCGCAGCTGGCGATTCTGCACGAAAGGCTACGACATCCTGTTCGGGGTGTACCGTGAATCTAACGCAGGGAATGACGAGCTGGTGATCAAGGAGCGAGTCTACAGCCATCTGGTGGTGGAGTCTGGCAAACTCGTCTGCTCGGATCCTGGAGTCTGTAAGTTGGGTGCTTCTTTTGAGTGGCGCGGTGATCAAATATTTTTCTGCCAATTAATAGTGGATAAAGTGCGGCGATGCAGTTCAACCCTCGATCTATTAGTAGGCAACCGTGCTCAACTTTCATCTTTCTAAGATGACCTGGTGAAATGTGCTCGAAAGACTCTTTTGTATTTATCAGGTCACATTTGTGCTGCTGTCTTTGTGACATTCGGTGACTGACCGGGACATTTTGTGACATTTTGTCATGCGTGGTGCTGCCTCCATGATGTTTCGAGTTAGTTAATGTTGCAAATGTTGAGCATCTTAATGATTCTTCCATGCCTGAACTGGTCAACCCAGTTCCATGTGGATATCCTCAAATTATTGTTTTCATAAACTGAATGAATCATTGTCTTTCCAGATATACTTGAGTTCGACAACTCCTACAGTTACTTCCACGGCAAAGAAGTGTATCTAGATGTAGTTGTGGTCTGAGCGTTCGCAAACCCCCTGCACAGCATCGGCTCAACGCAGATCACCTGGCCGTCTGCTCAGCAGCCAGACCTGGCGCCTGTACTCACACTCGGGCTCAGCGCAGAACACCTGACCGCCTGCTCAGCGACCAGACCTGGCGCCTGTACCCACACTCGGGCTCTGCACATATCACCTGACCGCCTGCTCAGCGACCAGACCTGGCGCCTGTGCTCACACTCGGGCTCCGCACAGATCACCTGACCGCCTGCTCAGCGACCAGAGCTGGCGCCTGCACCCACACTCGGGCTCAGCGCAGATCACCTGGCCGGCTGCTCAGCGACCAGACCTGGCGCCTGTGCTCACACTCGGGCTCTGCACAGATCACCTGACCGCCTGCTCAGCGACCAGACCTGGCGCCTGTGCTCACACTCGGGCCCGCCAGCATACATGTGTACGCTCAGCCAGGCGGGGCAACCAAACGCCCTTTAGCCCGCCAGGGGCGTGCGTCACTTAGCGTCACAAAGGGCCGCACGTGCAATCCCTGACAAGGCGGCCCAGTGGAACCCTCTGTCTTCATCGAGGTCGAAGAATGCGTGGATATGGGAGAAGTAGCATAGATGCAGATAGATCCTTCCACATGTGCAGTCCGCGGCAGCGACGGATGGAGTGCGTTCAGCGCCGCGCCCGGACGTGGCAGGTGATGCTTCGTCCCAGATGGCGCTGACTGCTGAGTTGTGGGCAGATGGCGCAGTGGGCGGCCAGGTGGCGCGGTGAGCGGCCGGGTGGTGCGGTGAGCGGCCGGGTGGTGCGATGAGCGGCCGGGTGGTGCGATGAGCGGCTGGGTGGCCCGGTGAGCAGTCAGGTGGCGCGGTGAGCGTTCGGATGGCGTGACTCGCGCCGTCGCCAGCGCGCGCCAGCCTCCCGACCAGACTCGCGACCAGTGTTGAAAGGACTAATGGCGCGGCTGCCAGCTGATAAGCGGCAGCGGCTCTGGCCAGTTATATGCGTGCACGTACGTTTGTACTGTTCAAGATGAAGCGCGTCAAATGCGACTTAATCAGACATTGTAAGTCCGACATCTGAGAAGAGCTTTTCAAACCGGGCTTTAGCCATAAAGGTGTGTTGTGTAATTGTCGCACGACGTATATCGCTCACGAAGAAAAATAGTTTACTACGTATGTACTTTTGTCCAAATTGGAAATCGGTATGATGGCAATATAGTATAAACAATGTAACGCACCGAGCGGGTTTAGAACGGCTGCATGCGAGTCCTTATAACGGGGCTGAATGTACGATTGACTACGACCCATCGTGATGCAGCAGACCGAAGTGCAGACAAGAGGAGGATGTCGTGTTGACAAGCCATGGGTCGATTCACTTGAAAGGAACGAAGCGCTTGCTAAGCGCGAGAAGTCTGCGGGGCTTGAACGGTGCATGTCATCCACGCCTGCTCCTGATGATGTGGACGGTGATGATGCTTGGTGCGCACTGAAAATTGATTGAGTACGTTATCTGCTGTTCCTCAAGCTGTCAATGGAAAAAGAAAGCCAGAAAGACAGTCGTGGATCGTGCGCTTCCGCTTTTCGTCCGGTTTTCTTGAAGTTAAATTTGCAGCACTTATCCCTATCACTGCCTCGCTCATTCTGTGACATACGCGGCGTCTTATTGGGGAAGTACTGCATCAAGAGCGGGCAAAGCCACCTCGGTTCGTAGACTGTCGGGCCCTCTGCCCTATGTGAGGCAGACGTGTGAGTGCGTCCCGTGTGAGATCATGTCCCGGCATTCGCCAACGTCCCTTACCTTTGGAGGTCAAGGAAATATCATGAGGCGGCGACCGGGGCCGTACTGCTACGGCACTGCATTGCACCCTAAAGTCTGTGAGCAATAAAACTAGCTAAGTGAGCTTGATCAACTGGCCGATGTGAGCAAGGTCTTCGCAGCACACTGGCAGGCGTCCGAGAACCATAATCACAAACGCTATCCCAGATTCAGCCAAACTGGCTGGGAGAACGCACCAGTTATCATCCAAATATACTGGGCCATCGTGACAGGATGCGACAAAAAAGCGACAGCTTTATACCCACCAGTTGGAATGTACTTGTGCAGTGCTCGCTCCCTAAAACAGCAAAAACCGCTTTTATAATAGGTCATTGGCGAAACCACTTTCGTATGATTTCGTCGGTTCTAAGATTAGTCGTAAATAATTGAGGAATGGAATGTTGGGGGTGAAAAAGCTTGACGAACCGAACATGATCAGTGACAAAAACAGACACTTTTGCGAGCGAAATGGTGACAAAATCGCGATAATATAAACAGGTTACGACATACCAGTCCATATTACAACAGACCATCCGAGCTAGACGAGGTTTCAAGCTTATTGGCCTGTCCTCACTAATTTTTACATCGGGAGCACGTAAAGAGTATATATCGAAACGCTAACCAAGCGCCAACTTGTCGTAACGCTTTGCGCCCAAGTTGAGCCGCAAGATATGCCAAGCATAACAGCTTTAATCAGAATAGTTCTTAGCAGGTGATAAAAATATATTACAAACTATACTATATCAATGCTGACATCACAGATGGGTGGTGACACTGCTTTTCAATGCCTCTCAGATCAGTGTTTTTACAGATTTTTCAGTCAAGATTCTCTTCGCACACTAATCGGTTTAAAATTCTAGATAACTAGGCTTATCACCAGTTGAAGGAATCGTGACTGGCCACAGTATCTTGCGGCGAATATGATCATTTTGCGACGAGGCGAGTTAAAGCGTCATGCCATTTGGGACCGATGGGCTCGAATGCTCGTCACGTATTAATGAACTGGATTCCGTGCAAAGCTGTGGGCTGCCGTTCGTTCTTTCATGTCGTGAGAAGCGGACTGGCTTGAAAAGCGTAACCGATCATCGTTTTTTATGGTGCTGTGCGGCTCTTCTAAGAAGCCACCATCGAGGGCTTCCCTGGGAATAGAGTTAAAAAGCCCTGCCGATCTAGGATGCTTGCTGTTTGTGGATATCAAACCCGTAGCTTCAGAGGTCAACGGAGGACATTGGAGCAACACATGTCAAGGACTCATCGGGAGATTTCTGCTGCTGAGAGGAACGTCGGCTTTGAGGTCAGATGCCAGACATTGCTGGTGCAGGCCTCGCATTGCCCGTCGCACCTCAGACTTTATAAGAGAGTATATATATATATATATATATATATATATATATATATACAGCGAAATTATGCATACGCACGGCTGTCACCCGTTCGTTTGTAGGACGTGCCCTAAAATATTGCTGCAGCTGGTCCACCGCATAGACGTTGGTGAAAAAGTTTTGCTGAACATGATTAGGACAAATATCACACCGACTGACGAACGCACTGAAACAAGATTTACGATCTATTACAAAAGCAGAACAACTAGCAGCATTATAACGAAAAACGGACTGGCAACGGACCAAAAGCAACTAAAGCGCACCAATATGGTGTATGAATTTAAATGCCCTTACAGAGACTGCCGGCTCCGCAGTTCTACCTACATTGGTATGAGTATAACATCCCCATCACGACCCATGACTATGCACCTGCAGGAGGGAGAGCCACACCAACATATGCGTAAACCCACAACCAAAAACTCCCACGCTCTGATCTGACTGAAAACACACGTATTCTAAAATCATTTCAGGACAAACGCCGTCTACAAATTCTTGAAGCCACCCTGATCAGATAAAAAAAAATGCTTAACTTAAACACATGACTCCAGCATTTCGTTAGAGTGAAACTCAAGGAAATTGTGGTGTCCCAATATTCGGTGTCACCAGAAATGAAGGCTCTGGGGCGTTTTAAAAGATGCGCTTGAACTGAATGCCTTTATAAAATAAATCTTATAGCGCCCCGAAATCAATGTCTTGATGCTTCTTCCCGAATAGCCGTCCAAAGTTTAGCAGGTTAAAATGCACGGGCATTATGGTGCCAGTTGGAATTTGTTGTCTCTTGGAAACGAAGAGCCGTGGGCCTTTTTTGGTGCCACCTGGAATCGGGTACCTCTGGACAAGAAAAGGTCATGATGGTCACGATACCCCGAAATAAAAGTTTTTGGGTCCATCCACCAACCGGAAACATCCAGAGTTTTGTCAGGGTAAAAGGCAATGGAGCTGTGGGAGTTTGGTACCTTTAAAAGGTCTGCTTTGATCTATTGCCCATTGGAAACAAAGGTGGTGATGCCTAGAAATATTTCAACTAGAAGGCAAAAAGAGTGAAAGCTTTGGCGTCCTCTCTCCAAAGGGGCCGACCCAAGATTTTATCAGGGTTGCAGACGTAACACTGTAGTGGCCCCGGAATCTGGCGCCTCTTGAGAATAAATGTGTGGAGTCTTTGTGGTTCCATCTGGAATTTAGTATCTGCGGAAAGGAGATCTCCTGGTGTCCTGAAATGACAGTTTTGGTGCCCGGTCAACATGAGATTTTGGTGCCCCTCGAGGCACCAAAAGCTTGTGGAGCCTCAAGGGGAGGGTCATGGCCCCGTCCCCCCCCCCCTCCCCCCTCCCATCTCTGGACCTGTCCCTGAAGACAATTATATCATTGCCTTTATTCAGGGACTTTAATGACCCAAAGGAAATATTAATACCGGGAGATGAAAAACTGAACCGACTAAGGAAAGAATGAAATATTCTCCACTCAACTGGTGGTTCCCGTCATAATGCTTCTCAGTTTGGCAAACCCCAAGGCTGCCCCGCGTCCGCTGTCGCTGATCTCCGAGTCGTAATACGCCCAAACTCCACGGAAGTCTTGAGCACGAAACAAAAAGCGTGAGCTTCCAAAAGCATGATTAAAAACTTAGTTCCAACAACAGCAAAGATGGAGAGGTTTTGATCAAAGGAAGATCAAACACACAATTTTACAACCCGCCTGTGAGACAGAGGGATGGCAAGGCACAAAATGTGGTGTTGGGGGGGAGGGGGAGGGGGGCGTACTCTGCGCGGCTGCCGGGCCGCCGCTGGATGTCTGTGCGTCGTCGGCTGCCGCTGTCACGCCTCCCCACAAAAGCGAATTTGTACTGAGGAGCTCATTGGTCAGCATACGAGCCAGATGATGTTAACGCACGACTCGGCGCGTTGCGACTTCCGGTCCACCCGACGTCAACACACGCTCATGTGAGCCACAGAGCTAGGATGAAGCGGGTGACCGGGGCATTCGCAGGATGGTAGGTCCGGTCAGGCATCATGAACCCCGTGCATGGCTGTACGCCTTGACCATGTTACCCCAACTCCACCGTTTAGCTGACAATGATATATAAAAGGGGCAAAAACGGGACCAGATGCATTGATAATACAACTAAAGTGGCAGTGATCCCATCCAAACGGCGAATTTCACTGGCAAGGGCCCGCTGTACAACAACCCTGGGAGTCCCCATGGCCTTAACCAATCCACGCGGACTTCATGCATTCGGCGCCCCACCACATTCACTCCAAGCATACACATCCGCTGGAGCCCATGCCACCGTTCATTCTTGGCTCGCACACGGGTGAGACCCCCCCCCCCCCCCACCCACCACCCTTTTGCTTTATCCAGCGCCTTGACATAGTTGACATTCCTGTGCGAGTCCTCGTTAAGCTAAATCAAATGTATTTATTACATTGCGCACATCCAATAAAGCCAAGTTTAAATCCTTTTAAAGACATATCATGTTAATTCATCACAATGGCACTGACTCAGCTACTGCGCCGACGTCGGGTGTCTGAAGCTGGACGACGACTCGTTCCCTCGCCTGACCTCCAGGCTTCCTGTTCGGACGACGCTCCCCCGCGTCTCGTTCACGATGGGCGGCCAATCATTCCTTGGCCACGCTCACCGCTCGCAGCTTTCCGCTGCCGCGCCCGCGTCTTTGGTATTGCCTCGTCCAGCACGGAGCAATAGCCTCCGGTGATTCGACACCCTCGTCTCCCGTCTGCCGGAGGGTGTCTTGCAAGACACCGCCCCACGGCGCGTCCCCCAGAGGCCTGGAGGCAGACAGCGCGCCCGGTGGAACGGTGGAGCCGCTCGGCAGGCAGCGAGCGCCCGGCGTGACTTGCGTTCACGCTTTACGGTCTTCACGGCCGGCGCGCTCTGGAGACTCGGCCTGACCGGCCTGTCCGGCGACCCGGTCCCCTGTCGCGCTCCCTGTAAGCGTCAGTGGCAGGATCTTTATCAGTCCCGAACATCCCTCCATGAGGAGTTCATAAGGCTTGGCGTACACCGCGTCGGAAGAGAACAGAC